CAAGAAGTTACGTGCTTGAGAAGTTCTTTGAAGGTATGGTGGTTTATTTACTTCAATGGCGTTTTATTGGATATTAATTCCTATTATGAGAGATTTTAACGATTTCTAATTGTGCCACTGTTTGAACAAAGCAGGAAATCCCACGCGCATACTGCAATGGTTTTCTAATTTCTGATGGTGGTGGAGGATTGGGACACCAAAAAGGTGCAAAAGCCATATCCAATTTGCTTTTGTTAATCGGGATATTGTTGGGAGGAGCTTGAGTGGAAGGGAAAACATGGGCAATCACCTGCCATGGTTGCTACGAAGCCCCATACTTTCTAGATTTGGATGTCCAAAGGACAGTAGAAAATTTCCTTGAAAATGTGCCGAATTTTGGTCTCAATGAGTTTGCGGAGTCGGTAAAAGATGGTGAGATCTTGTACATTGATACAAAATTCTTTATAGAATGTTTATTAATTTGATGTATAAAGAAGATGCAAGAGATGTATGGGAAGTTATAACTGAGTTTTTGTAGAGGAATCTTTCTCATCCTTGTCACCGCCTTCTATTATCTTGAAGGCGGAATTCGCATTTCCTGGAGTTGCTGTGTAAATATTAACCAAGAATGGAAGCTAAAATTTTGGTACACACATCTTACTGGCTTGAGATTATACTTTCTAGGTGAGTGATTGTAAATCTATTGATCGGCTACTTTTGTAAATTTGTTATCAATCAAAGACGCCAACTTCTTGGGTTCTTACATGATGGTGAATACCAGGAAGAACAAGCAAAAATTAAAGATATCGTGCTACAGATTAGCACAGCTTCTCTCAAAGTCAAAGTTTGTCTTCGATTTTGAGGAGGCTTAAAGTTAAGTACCGCGGAAGCATTAAAATAATGGGACTTCATTCTTGGGTCATTTATTCTAGGCTATCTGAGAAGACTGGTATGGAGTCTTGGATCGTTATTTGTGAGCAATGGATACAGTTCGCAAACTGTAAATATGTATTGCTAAAGCATGATGAATTGTCAGAAGAAAGTGGGTCAGAATTGGATAATAGAACGTCAAATAGAAGTAGGCACAAGAAGAAGAAAAAAAATAGAAAGAAAAGGAGGAGAAGAATTATGATGATGATGAAAGTTATGACAACGAGTTGCTGGATTTTGATACCTCAGATAGTGGGCGAAATTTGCAATCTAGGGTATTAGCTGGGTGCTCTCCACTGATGGGTTTTCTGCATCATGGACTAGTGTGAGTTTATACTCTTTATCATGTAACTTTTGAATTTCTTTCATTGAAAAGCAAAGTCTTTAGTACTTGAATCGTGAAATTTTTTGTGCTGCAAAACTAGTTTATGAGCAGAGGAAGCATGTTTTCATACATGGTGATGTACTGAAAATCTTGTCAACCAACCATGTTGATCCTTATTAGAGTCTAAGACTAGAATGTTATTTTTTTTCCCCTAAACCTTTTGCTAGTAACAAACTTCAATCTTTTATCTATCAAATCTGTAAAATGTTTACCAGTAATCTGACATATTACCCTTTTTTTTGTGATTTTCTTTTCATTTGTGATTTTATTATGGATGTTCATCTGTTTGACTCTACTGCAGATAGTGACATAAGTTCTTTTAGTCTATAAACCTTTATCTGATTATTGCATTGTTTTGTAGGCGGATTTACCGAAACCTGTCAAACATTGCTTGGCTACATGGATGAAGTGGCTTGTTAACCAGTGGAGCAATGTGGCTAATTTCCAGATGGTTACTTTATCCAGTTTCAACTGACTGATAAACTTCAAGAACTTTTATGGAACTGGACTTATTTGATGGTGTGTAAACAGATCATCAGACTGCAGCTTCGTCTCAAACTCTCAATAAAATTTTGACAGCCGAGAAGGCTACACATGCAACTTAAATTTGATCTGATACGCAGGTTGATACAACAACATGGCATCAACCTCTGCAGTCTTCTTAGTTTCCAAATCGGTTGAACGTAAAATCCAGCTGAGAACTGTCTTAAGGTGTTTTATCTTTAAATTTATCGAATTCCATGTTTACTGCAGGGATTTAAAACTGATGTCTTTTTTTTTTTTTGGTGGGTGTAGGACAACAGAATTGTGGAATAGATTATGAGAGCATCTGGCAAGCCGGTTCCAATATGCTCAACTTTGATGCGTTGCTATATAATTTGATATTTACATTTTTTTCAGTTGTGGAATATAGTCATATACATTATCCTTAAACTTTTGTTATTCACATGAGAGTGAATACTAAATCGGCTATGTTGTTTTACGAGTTTAAGAGAAATCATATTTCCCATGACAAAAATGCTATATCCACCGAAAAGTTGCACCGAAACACGTGGAGGCCGCCACGTTGGACCCATTGAATATTGATATAAATGGATGGTCGTCCAACGTTTTCGGACGGTCGTCCAACATTTTTGGACGGTCGTCCATACATCCCAGACGGTTGTTCATAGTAGAATGGACGACCGTCCATAAAAAGTTATTTAGTTTTTAAAAAAAAAAAAAACAATGGACGTCCGTCCAACAAATTTGGACGCTAGTACGCCCGTCACCCGTCCCTATATTTGTGAATTTTTTTTATAAAAATTGTTTTAAAATATAACAGGACGGCAGTCCATCTGTTGTGGACGGCCGTCCATATTTTACGAACTACCGTCCATACTAGATGGATTGCTGTCCCCAGTTTGTGAAAATTTTTAATTATTTAAATTTTATTTTTAAATATAATGTAAATATGGACGACAGTCCATGTACTTTGGACGGTCGTCCTTAGTAGATGGACTGGCTGTCCATGTAATTTGGACGGTCGTCCTTAGTAGATGGACTGGCCGTCCATGTAATTTGGACGGCCGTCCAAAGTACATGGACTGCCATCCATATAGAATGGATGGCCGTCCAACGTAAATGGACGGCCGTCCATACATGGATTGGCGTCCATATTTGTTGAAAAAAAAATTTTGTTAATTAATATTAATGAATGACTTGTCTAATACGCTTCATTTTTAAGCGTCAAAATCTTTTTCTTCTCTTCTCCTTCGTCTCTGCCATTTGCTTTTCTTCTGTTTTTCGTCTGCGCCATTTGGTTTTCTTAGCTTCTCCTTCGTTGCGTGTTGTGATTCCTTGCTTCGACGTCGGTTGCTTCCTCAACAATCAAGCACCAGCAGCAATATCTCGTTTTATAGAGATAACCTTGAAACAAAAATAAATATCAAACCTGTTAAAGCCAGGATTTTTGTTAAGGTAAAGAGTTTTTTATTTATTTTATATATTCATTTAGTTTCCTATTCTATTTTGGATTGAATATATGTTTGATAGATAATATTTTTTTGTGACAGTTGTGAACTAGATTTGTGAACGCAAAAACTGATATTAGTTGTGCATGAAATAACTGAATCTAGAAGAGTCCAGTTTGCCTCGTTTCAATGATGTTGAGGTAAATTGTGTTCGAAACTTTTTTAAATATGGTGTATTGTATTGTTTATTATGATGTGTTCACATTATAATTTTCTTTATTATAAAACCATTGGATCAGGAAAATGAATGTGATGAATTAGAAGATACGGGATGTGTAGAGGAAGAAGTGGAGCCTCATATTGGAATGGTGTTTGATTCAGTTGATAGTTTGGTGAAGTATTACAGAAGGTGTGGAAATAAAATGGGTTTTGAAGCAATGATACGTACGTCAAAGAAAGGAGATGATGGGGAGATGAGATACGCTATAGTGGCGTGTTCTTGTTCTGGGAAGGAGAGAAGTAAATGCAGAAATACCTTGAAAAAACAACCTGTTGCAAAAACAGATTGTAAGAGTCTTATTAGTGCAGCTTTGAATGGTGAATACAAATGGGAAATTAAATTAGTTGTGCTTGAACATAACCATGATCTTACAAGTCCGACGAAAAGAAGATATTTCAAGGTAAATCGAACGATAGAGCCTTTTGTGAAAAGGAGGCTTAAAGTTAATGATCAGACTGGGATTAGACTTTGTAAAAATTTTCAGTCATGTTCAGTTGAGGCAGGAGGTGTAGAGAATTTGACATTTCTACAAAAAGATTGTAGGAATTACATTGAAAAAGTTAGAAGGCTACGACTTGGAGTTGGAGATGCTTCGGCAGTGCTAGAGTATTTTATGAAAATGCAAAAGGAGAATTCAAATTTCTGGTACATGATTGATGTAGATGAAGAGAGTCAATTGAAGAATGTGCTATAGGTTGATGCTAGATGTAGGGCCTCATATAAAGATTTCGGTGATGTTGTGACCATCGACACAACGTATCTGACGAACAAGTATGATATGCCATTTGCAGCTTTTGTGGGGGTTGATCATCATGGACATTCGACATTGTTAGGTTGTGGGTTAATTTCACATGAGGACACAGAGACATTTGTATGGCTATTTCGTTCTTGGCTTGAATGCATGGATGTTGCTCCTAATGGAATTATCACTGATCAAGATAAGGCCATGCAAAATGCAATTGAGATTGTTTTCCCTAGTACAAGACATAGGTGGTGTTTGTGGCATATAATGAAGAAACTGCCTGAGAAGTTAAGAGGGTATAACGAATATGAAACTATAAAGTTTACGTTACAAAATATTGTGTATGATTCGTTGGCACGTGAAGAGTTCGAAGAACGGTGGAACAAATTCATTGATGTGTATAACCTTCATGAGAATGAATGGTTATCTGGATTGTATAAAGAAAGAGTACGTTGGGTGCCTGTATTTCTTAAAGATACATTCTGGGCAGGTATGTCTACTACCCAACGTAGTGAAAGTATGCATGCATTTTTCGATGGATATGTAAATTCCAAAACAACATTGAAACAATTTGTGGAACAATATGATAATGCATTGCGAGATAAAGTGGAAAAGGAGAGGGAGGCTGATTTTAGATCTTTCAAGTCTTGGATACCATGCATAACGAATTACCCCATTGAGAAACAATTTCAAAATGCATACACAACTGCAAAATTTAAAGAGTTTCAAGAAGAGATTGCGGGGAAGATTTATTGTGAATTATCTTTTCTGAAAAAGTCCGATTCGTATGAGGAGTATCAGGTTTTAGAAGATATTTGGTTTGGAGATAGTAATCGGCGTGTTCCCTTTCTGGTTTACTTTGAAGAAATTTCATGTGATATTCGCTGCAATTGTCATTTGTTTGAGTTCAAAGGGATTTTATGCAGACATGCCATTATTGTGTTGATTCATAAAAGGGTTTCACACATTCCAGATAAGTACATTCTACGGCGTTGGAGGAAAAACATAAAAAGATGTCATACGAAAATCAAGGTAAGTTATAATAAGTGGAGCACAAACGTTGAAGGATAGCGTTTTGAGAAGTTGTCTAATCTAATGCTGACAGTAGCTGATATAGCATCAAACAATGAGGAAGACTGTAACATGTTGATGGAATTGATGACTGGAGTGAAAAATAAGTTGGAGCAGAAGGAAAGTGAGGGAGGGTTTGGTAGTAAAGAGGGGGACAATCCTCCGAAAGAGGGGAATAGTCTAATTAATAGTCCACGGGTAGCTCGCAGCAAAGGTCATCCTCCATGCAAAAGAAAGCGATCGAAGGTTGTTAAAATTGTACATAGGGCTAAAAATAAAAAATTGCGAAAACAAAGACTTGGTATAAGTTATACACCCATTCTGACATGATATTTGTTTTTTAAACATTATTTACTTATTTGAAGTTTATTATAATATATACTTGATTCTTAATGTGTTATGCTACTTTATAGGGAAAGAATCATCAACAGAGCGAGACAACATTGCTGAAAGTGTACCGGGAACTCTAGTGTTGTCAAATGATATTGTTGCTACTCAGGTATGTGTTATGTATGTTGTATAATTGTAAAAACCTTAAGTTTTTTATAACATGTGCTAAATCGTGGTTATTAAACATTGACAGTTGTCCACTGGTCCGGTTCAGAATCTCATAGCAAATAGTAATTTATATCCTGGACAGGAGGATGTAAATTATGAACATGTTTCGTTGGGAGAGATTTGATATCTTTAACCGGTTGGAGCATTGTTGCATTTGTATTCGGTAGAAATTATCCGTGTTATGGTTAATTTCTGACTAATGCAGTTGAGCTATATGTTGAATCAGTTGTTTTGTTTTTATTATTTTTGTTGCTCGTTGGGTAAGAGTAGACTATTGGTTGTAGGGTGTTGAATTCATAATAATAATAGAAATGTATATATTATCCTTATTCTAGATGTTTTCAGTACATATTATCGTCACATTTCATTTCATATTATTCTACATTTTATTTCAGATTTAGGGTGTTGATATGTCTTTTGGTATCAGTTGCTTTGTTTTTATTATTTTTGTTGCTGGTTGGGTAAGAGTAGACTGTTGGTTATAGGGTGTTGAATTCATAATAATAACATAAATGTATATATTATCCTTATTCTGGATGTTTTCAGTATATATTATCGTCACATTTCATTTCAGATTATTCTACATTTCAGGGTTTAGGGTGTTGATGTGTCTTTTGGTATATTTGTTTTGTTTTTTTCATTTCCGTTGTTGGTTGGCTAACAGTAGACAAATGGTTGTAGGGTGTTGAATTCATAATAATAACGTAAATGTATATATTATCCTTATTCTGGATGTTTTCAGTATATATTATCATCACATTTCATTTCAGATTATTCTACATTTCAAGGTTTAGGGTGTTGATGTGTCTGATTTGTTTTTTTCATTTCTGTTGTTGGTTGGCTAACAGTAGACAAATGGTTGTAGGGTGTTGAATTCATAATAATAACATAAATGTATATATTATCCTTATTCTGGATGTTTTCAGTATATATTATCGTCACATTTCATTTCAGATTATTCTACATTTCATGGTTTATTATACTATGGCAAATATAATCTTCGTACATAACATTTATACTAAGAATTAACAGTCATATGATATTTGAGAAGTTCAGCTAATTGAGAACTTATTGTGAAATCAAACTTTATTAATTAACATATTTTCGTACATACTGAACTACACATAATTACAATTAACATTCAAAGTCTGTTCCCCAATTAACTACACAGATGTTGAGAAGGTGGAGGTTGTTCAGTAGTTCATCATCCTAGTGTACGGGGTGGAGGCTGACTAGAGGAGGACGAGGCTGGTGACAATTTCTTCATCATGTTGGATATTTTTGTCATGCGTTCCCCAAGGATGTCAACCGTTTCTTCTATTCTTGATACGAACGAGTTGAAATCACTTTGCAACTGATCTTGTTGTTCTTGTATTTTCCTCTCAATACGTGAAAAACTATCTTCTTGAAACCTTTCGATCTGATCAATTCTGCTTACTATTTCGTCTAAGGTATGAGAAGACATTTCTTCTACATTCTAAGAAGATCCAGGTTTGTTCTTCTTCTTTTCCGCACATAGACTCGTCCTTCATTTTCCCCTTTTGGAACAAGGATACCTTCTTACAACATTGCCTCTTCCTCCATTTCATCCCTAATCAGCAACCATTCTCCTGACACATTCTTTTTAATCAAATCCATTTAGACAATGTGACATCCCCCAACAAATTATTTGCAAAAAATGTGCCTTCATCTGAAGGGGTGATCTCAAAACCCAACTTCTGACATATTAGCGTAACAACCATCCCCCAATAAGTGTCATCTTTTTCTGCTTTAATCTCTCCCAACTTTTTAATTAATAACTTAGCTAAATTTACTTGCTTCTCTATTACTGCTGCTTCCATCAACAATAAATCCTTCACTGTCACATTTCTATTTGTCTCTTTCTTGCCATTAAATGTGAATATCAAAAATTTGTGAAAAACTCTCATAGCAGGATTTCTTCACTTCGTAGATTTACACCTATATGGATGATAAACCCCTATTCCAGAAACATTCGTCCAAGCTTGTTTAGAATCCCACGTTCTCGGTACGCTATCCAAACCTTCAAAATCAATCCCTATCCAGTTTGCTAAGTCCTGTGGCCTGACTACACAATTCTGATTCTTTAATCTAAAAAACATTGTATACGGCGGGAAATCATCAGTACTTGTCTCCACAACTTCAAAACTACTAAAAAACTCGTAAATCAAATGCTTATATCCGTCATATGTAATACTCGCCAACTGCTCCCATTTCAAATTACGAATCTAACCATTAATCTCATCGCCTAAACCCAAACTACTTATAAATCCTATATCCAAAGTTCTTCCAAGACAAATATCTCTTTTCGCCATCTCTTTGTATTGCTTTTTATGTTGCACGTCTCGAAATTGGACGCCAGATGACGAAGAGCCTCCACCCGAAGTGTTTGTGTTTTTTGCTCTTACCATTTTCTGCTTTCTTCTAAAACCCTGAAAAAAACATATCCACAAGTAATTCATGTTATATGACAAAACATATATGACATTAAACCAATATCACAAACACAAAGCACATACAGCATAACCATGTATCCCACTTTAACAGTATAATATCAAAATCAATCACATTACAGACAATCGAAAGAGAAATTAATCAAAATGTTAAAGAATATAGTCATTTTTTGTTGTTGAACCTTTCCTCCCAATAAAAACAAAGTCTCTTTGATGACAATATCCATACAAGTTTAGAACCAGCTCTATTTGTCAATCACCATGTGAAATATGCAATTCCAATCCTAGCATGGAATCTGGTGAAATTCCTTTTTTTTTCCATCAAAGTCAGAAGTTTAGCTGCTTCCTTCATATCACCCAATTTGCAATAACCATCAATCATGATAGTGTAGGTAATTTTATTAGGATGTATATTAAATGAAGCCATTTCTTCCAAGACATTCCTGACTTTATCCATCTAACCCAGTTTAGAATAACCACCTATAAGTGCAGTGTAACAGACAACATTTGGCAACAAACCTTCCTTTCTCATTTCACCAAAAAGACTTTTTGCATCTTCAACAAGGCCAACATTGCACATTCCATGTACTAGAGAAGAATATGAAACCAAAGTAGGTGGGGTGCCCCTGCTTCTCATGTCATTAAGAAGTCTGAAAGTTGTTGTCATATTTCCATTTTTACAGTATGCTCCAATTAGTGTATTATAAATAACAGAATTTAGTGATACTTTCTTAGAGATGAGCTCATTAAAGAGATTTTCACCTTCTTCAGTTTTATCAGCTTTACCATACCCATCTATCATAACCCCATACGTATAGATATCTGGAACAAAACCTTTTCTTATGCACTTGAAAACCAATGTCCCGCTCAATAACCACATTTAAATCAACCATTTTAGCAGCTATCTCAATGTGCCTATCTTTGGGATTATTCAAATACACAACCGGCATCTTTCCATCAATCAAACAAATCAAAAGCAATCTTGCAGGCGATAAAAGGTTGGAAAAAAGAAGCAAACGAATCAAAAGACAATAAGACCGAACTGTGAACCGAAACTTACAGGAGTCAGATGCAAAGTAAAAGAAATTCAAAACCGTTTTCGGATTCACATTCAATCTTTTAAAACACCCAAAACAGAACACTTCTATTTGTCAATCACACAAACCAGTCCGACCAAATTGACTTTATCAAATCAACTCCATTCAACACAAATGTAAATCCAATACATTTATCCAACATTAAAAAAAAAAAAAATTGAAAAACGAAAGTGTCTAATTACCGCGGCTGATTTGTTTTTTGAGATGAAGAAGACGATGAACCAGAGCACAGACGAGATGAAGAACACGATGAACCAGAGCGCAGATTGAAGAAGAAGAAGAAGACCGTTGTCGATTTTTTTGTTTTAAATGCTTTCCCCAAAAGTTTTTAACCTAAAAGTTTTTCAATTGAAATTTTTGTTTTTAATTAGAGTAGGGACGCCCGTCCAAAAATAGAGGACGACCGTCCATAAGGAATGGACGGGCGTCTCTTAAGTATGGACGGCCATCCATATGGAATGGACGGGGATCCATTAAGTATGGACCGTCGTCCATATGGAATGGACGCCCATCCATTCCATATGGACAGTCGTCCATTCCTTATGGATGAGCATCCAAATATTTTTTTAAATCTTTTTAAACCAAATTATGGACGGGCGTCTATTCTATACAGACACCTGTCCACACATTACGAATGCCCGTCCATAATTTGTGGACGAACGTCCTAGATTTTTTAAAAATTTTTATATTTTGAAAACAGGACAGACGTCCCTTATTTAATGAATGCCCGTCCAAAATTAAGGGACGAGCGTCCATTAACATATGAACGTCTGTCCAATATGTATGGACGGCCGTTCATAACCTAGGAACGGGCGTCCCTAAGTTTTTTTAATATTTTTTATTTCATTTAGCAATTTGAGGACGTCCGTCCGTAGTAAATAGACTCCCGTCCATATAATATGGACGGGAGTCCATAGTAGTGAACGACCATCCATATGCTATGGACGGCCGTTCATTAGACATAATTTAATAACGCTAAAATGCGTTGAATGCTCTGAGTCAGCATACACACATAAGCCGGTACAAAATTTCGGTGTAAAAACACCGGTGTCTGTAGCATTGTTGTTCCCATGAAGCCCATAGGCCCCATAGAAGAAAAAGTTGGAATCTTTTATAATTTGAAACTTAAAAAGAGTACTCTTTTCCATGTTGCCTAACAAGTCTGGGGTGGTCATATGTCTCAATTGATTCTTCTCAATTGATTCTTTATTAGTAACAATTCAATAGTTTGAAAGCTTGGGTATGGAAAAACCACATTAGCCTGATTTGAATTTACAGGACGTTGCATCTAAGAAATGCTTGCCCATTTGCAATCGAATTTGCGGTCACAACAAAGAGGTGTTAAAAGAACATACTTCAGATCAATTTGTAGATTAGAAATTAATCATGATGCAAGAATTTCGTACATGATTTTTGGGTATAAATTTATTGTGGAACAAATTTACAACACATGGACCCTGACAGGATCCCAATGGGTGGATGCATGGAATTGCAGCATCGTCACCATGAAGCCCTACCTACAAGAAAGGAAATAAAAGCCAAATGTAAATTTGCAAGGTAACTAGTTGGAGTAAATTGTTGATGGATTTCCCTGCTTCATATAAGCTCGTACTCCAAATATATGATCTAACAGGTAACTAACATATAACACAAGCACTATAATATAATCAAAGGTGATTAATTAAGAAGACTGTGATCTAGCTGTTTTTGTTGAGTGCAGAGTAACATACAAATTGAAGGAACTTACCCCGGGATGAATAAGCTGGCAAGCTAACGTACTTGGGACATGAGCTTTTTGAGGCAGCACAATCCCGCAACTAAAATAACAAGAAACATTTAGAACACAAACTTTTGACACGAAGAATAAAGCTCAAGCAGAATGTTAGATGATAGGCATGATTCAGCTCACAAAAAAATTATGAGAATGTCGGCAGGGAAATTCTAACTTAAAAAACATTGACATATTGGACTTTTAGCCCCACCATCAGCTTCTGTCACTTTCTGTTTATAACGAATGCATAACAACTGTTCTTCTCTATCTTGGGTCAATTTAATCACAAGACCAAATGAAATCCCAAGTATCTCAGAGGGCAGAGCCTAGATCTTAATTATACTAATTATCTGGCATAGTGGGTAGATTCTAACCTTGAAATCCTTGTAAAAGCACAAATGAAGTTCCTCCACAGCACCTTTAGAACAAACAAGCTTAGGGGTTGTATGGAAAGCATTCTGAATGGCAGAGACAATGCCTCCACGGGGATACTTCTCAGTATTAGAAGGAAAATATCCAGCTTCATTCAGTACTTTCTGACATCATCCACATAGAAAAAGAAACACGTTTATACATTAGCTAAAACAGTTGAATGCCATACACATTCCACCCCATCAATTCCAATATAAAATTAAATTGAAATACAAGCATCAAACAAGATAAAAATGCAGTCAATACAACAAAATTACTTCAGTTAATAGCTTAGTGTGAAACACAGGAAAGGTTAACAATTGACAGCAAAAGTTTTTCAGACTTACCGTGACATTGTATTTAAAGTACACATTGAGGGTGGTTAAAAAGTAACTGTATTCATCTCCAGTTACAGGAGAACTACAAGTTCCATGCTTCTCTGAAAGAAATAAATCAGAAGTAGCATGATTTATAATCCAGTTCAAACCAAAAACAAAATGTAGAGAATGTACTATCAACTATATCATGAAAGAGGGGAAAAGCTAAAGATGATCACCCCACTGCCAATGCATATCCCAGAATTCAGCAATGATAAGAATACAACAAAAAAGCACTGTCAGTTCTGAAACATGGTGAGGAATGATTTAGAAATGAATAAAAGTTTAAAACTTATACAACCTCGTGAGCCCAAAATGACCCTTTTCCACTATAGCAAGTTGATGATGAACCACAACTTAAAGATGGCCAATACTTCTCTAGAGCACCAAGCAATGTTGAAATCTACAAATTACATCAACCAACATAGAAAAGGCATACAAGGAGATCACTACGACTTCTAAAATCTAATACATAACTAAGGGCATAACTACTTTTAGAAATATGAACATTAATGTCAGAAAGTTCTAAATAAAATGTGGTCCAGCTCAGTAAAACTGACCTCTTTTTCATCAAAATTAGATCGCTTGCAACAGGCAGGCCAGGTCCCGTCATTGTAGTCAGGCCAGAGTCCATCTGCGACACAAGTTAAAGATTAGATGAGCGTATTTCTTTCTGTTACGAGATTTATGTACACAAAGGCCAATTGCAAAACCCCAGGCTGAACCAAAAATGAAATTAATTCCATTGTTTTAAACAACAAAGAACAGGTTTTAAAAATGCACCAAAGCAACCATCCACAATCATTGTTTTAAACAATAAAGAACAGGTTTAAAAAAGCACCAAAGAAGCCATCCACAACCGCTTGTAAACTTCATGGTATAACATCGTCAATATAAAAGATCACATTCACAACATTGTACTTACGGATTGTAAATTCAGTCGGCGAATTCGATCTGAAATAGGACAACAAAGAATAAACGTTGGTAAGTTTCCAAAGCTATGTTTGCCAAATCCAAGTTTAAGTTGTATTAAAAGAGCATCTACAGCACAAACTGAAATCAAATTTAACCGAATTATCATATCACCCACAAAACAAATGCCATAGGAAAAGTCTCTGATAGACTAAACAATTGAGCTAAAGACATGTTCGCCACATATAAGTTGAACCATAAAACACCATATTTAATACAAACTTCCAATAAATTTAACTAAATAATCACATCACAGCCCAGCGAACGAGCAAAAACAAGCTCACGGCACGAATTAACCAACAAAATTGACCCTTTTCAGCTTCATCTCTAATCACCATAAAATTCATAGAATTAAACAAAATACTAATATAATACTTTCTGAAACTCTTTCTCAGAACAGCCTCATAAAATGATTAATAAAACAAAAAACTTAAACTAGTTACAAGCATCAAGCTAAAAAAATAGCATGAAATCAGAAGCGTCCAAATTGAGTGACAGGCGTGGGACAAACATAGGTCAACGGAGATGATACACATGAGCAATCCATCGTAAATAAAGCTATGAATTAAGTAAACTAAAGAACAAATTAAATAAAGAAAACAAAAGGGAGAAGAAGAGATGGAAAGAGTACCCGCGGCAACAGGCATTGGAAGAACAACAATAGCGAGTACGGCGACAGACAGTGCCAGGCCATTGAAGAGCCAAGTTGAAGTAATCGAACTCTCTCTGAGCACCAATTACTACTCTTCCGTCTCTTCTTCCGTCCGCCTCCTCAATCTTACAGAACGACGCCGTAATTGCCAACACAACCACCAATAATCGAACCGGAGAAAGAGAGAGAGGAGTCATTCTTTACTTCTTTCTTGCTTCCAATGCTATCTAATTGGAGTAACGGTTTATAGGGGGAGAGAACTTAAAGGGAACGGAAAGGATAGATTCGTCATTTGACGGTTGCGTGCGGACAAACTGCTGTTTTGTCATTAATTGTATAGTGGGTTTTGTGTATTATTGGGATGTGGGTTTTTTTTGTAATTTTGCTAGTTTTCCCAACTCCTCTAGAGAATATGCTTTTCTTTTATCAATTGATTCCTCAAACAATAACAAAAGAGCCATTGCAAAAGTTAGTAGAGTTAATTGATAATAGTATAAAATATGAACATCATATTTAAAATATAAATCATTTAGAAACCCTCCTAGAAGGGTTTTTTATTGAACTCTTTTCTTCTTGATGCAAGACAAGATCCCAAGCCCAAGGAAAGAAATTATACTTCAACCAATTTACAACTTTTCCTAAGGAAAACTATTGTGTGTTTAGTACGTGATAGAAAGAGGAGAAATAAATTTTGTTATTCCCTTGTGCCGCACAGTTGAAGATAATAATTATCAAACATTACATGTTTTGACCAGTAAGACTGGTACTTGGTTATAGCCAAATCCAACCATGGCTTCAAGTTTCCATTGTAATGGATGACTGCCCCATTCTCTATCTCTGTTTTGTTAAGGGCTCGGTCATAGCCTAGCCCCAACACATGCCACTTTCGTTCCAAAGCATAGGTCTGGTTGTAAAATGTAATCAGTCCCGGCGGCAATGACCCGAGTTTCCATAGATTTCTATTCTCGTTCTGCATAAGTACAGGCAAGTGCAAATCAAGATAGGATCCTAATTTTGATGACATTGTAAAAAACTGAATAAAAATGATTAGGATGCACTAAAGCTTTACCTGATCTTGCCAATGGTGATATATTGCGGTGAGGTTTCGCTTCCTCCACTCCTTTAAGTCGAATATATTCATGCCAAATGCCCAACCACAAGCATCTCGAGCAAAATGCTCATAGATTTTTGGATTAGAGAAGTTGAGATATTTATCAAACCTGTGAAAGCCCCCCTTGCAGGTTTCCACTGCACCATTGACCATCCCATGAAGATCAATGGACCAAAGAGGGGTTAAATCCTTTTGAACCACAATATCATCATCCAAAAACAGGATCTTGTCAAGCTTCGGATAAACTTCAGGAAGGTAAAATCTAAGATGATTCAGCATAGACAAGTACTTTGGATTCCTGTATTTGAGATTGTCAGGCCCACCCGAAAGTGATGAAGGGTGATTTGCCTTGAAATAGTACTCCTGAAGTCTTGCAGATTCGAGTTGACGGAGAACAGAACAATAAGAGGAATTCAACCATTTGAAATCATCAATGTTCTCAACTTGGACTGTGGCTTCTTTTGGAGAATTCACAAGAAACCACATCTTCATCGCCGCGAAATTCAGTTTATCTGTGACTATGTGAAAAACGTGTTTCTGCAGCTCCTTAGTGTGCAGCATAGTAGAATTAATAACCACAGATGTCGCAAGTATGTTATCGGAAAAGATTGCATAATGGTAGAGAGATGGATCTACAAACTTTTCAGGGTTCAAATCCTTAATTTTTGTATGATCTTTTAGGAAATAATCTGTGGCTAGCTGCAGTGCTAGACAATGCAATGGTCTAGGGACAACTTTTGCAGCCAGTTGAATTAAGAATGAGCTCTTTTTATTTAGATCATGTACATTATCTTCAGTTGATTGGATCATACCTTGAAATTTTCTCTGCACTGTGGGGCAATCATATAGTTGGTTCTTAGCTATAGAGAGAAGACGACCGATTGCTATTGTTTGATTAAGTGCACTGGAATAGGTAAAAAGATTAATCCGCTTAAAACCAAAATGTAAAACATGCCCCTCAAAATAAACAAATAACATCTAAAACAAGAAGAAATACCTTGGGTGAAGCTCAGCATCAGAATTTGCTTCTCCGATGGCACGTTGACTTTCTATGCATTGTTTCATAATAGAACTGTAAAGACTGCTTTCGTTCTTAGACTTCGCAACTTGTGCATATGCTTTGGCCAAACTTATCTGATCTCGCAGAAGTTTCAATGTAAAATCGGACTTTAAACTTTCAAAATCTCTCCTCCATATACTTCTTTTCACCCCAACTCCAGGTTCAAAGGTTTCAGACGGTTCAAATCTTGTCGCTTGTACTTTGTCAATATTCACTTTATCTTCTCGAATTAGCTCCGCTGTTCGAAGTTCCCTTCTTCTCTGCCGCAACATCTGAACAGGAAGTAACTATCAGAACCCAATAAACTTTTCATAATGCACACAGCAAGATACATAGGTAGATGCATTGGACATTTCACCTTGCGCTTGAGCTTCATTGGGCTCATTGATGTCATTTTACGATACACAGGTCCATCTTCATCAGAGTGATTATCAACCCCATGATGGTCAACATTCTCTTCTAATCCCTTGCCATCTTTATATAAATCTCTCGGTGTCTAAACGTCCAAAGATCACATCAAAAACTTGCATATCAATATCTCTGCCTTGGTAATAACTCAATTTGCTGATATCAACCATTGAATTAAGGAAAAAAATGAAACTAAAATTCAAGCTATATAATGTTGTATTTTTATCATACACATGGACTCCTTAAAATGCTGCAACCATTTCAACCTGACATAATAAAAACTTGATGCTAAAATCAACAGCCAGTACCTTGGACTGTTTTGGCGAGTCACTGCCTTCATTTGTGGGGCTTTCAAAGATCCATGAAGAAGAAAGCTGACTCATTTTCACTCTATTGATTTGAAAATTACCAAAAGCATTAGTGTATGTCACAACTATGTCCATATCCTGCAAAAGCAGAGTAAATTATCAACCCCTAATGAATTAAAGTTTAAACACTACGTTTCCTCCCCACCAAACTCCACAATCTTTGGGGAACAAGAAATTCATAACATCTTAAAGGATGAAACAACAAGCGCTTTAAAGTGAGCAAACTTGGGTGCTTACCTTTCCATCTGGACCACCACTGTTGAAATTGGGAGCAGAATCACCCCGCTGGGAAAAGCATGAAATACAAAAGCATGAAATACAGTCCATATTAAGTAAAAATCTTGACCACATATTTATCTCCATAAAAGAAATAACAACACAATCAATATCTACATAACGCAAAAAAAAGAGTATAGCCGATGTTTATTCCCTAGATACCGACATTGCTTCTTCTCCGGGGAAAGAAGCTCAAGACCTGTGTGCCTTCTACCTTTACGCAGCATTGTTCCGTCAGGCTTTTCCCCATTGCAGAAAATTCCCCAGTGCTGCCTCTCCGTAGGAGTCTGGCCGTGTCTCAATCCCAGTGTGGCTGATCATCCATAATACTTACTAACTAATCGTACAAACTCTATTATATGAACGGATAATGATAGTATGCGTATACTGCATTATTGCAGATGCTATCAAATTTAATTTGTTTGACTTATTCTTTAATTTTCTTGAAAAACATAACATTACTATTGGAAAATAAAGAAAAAATGAGATTTAACCTTAGTATACAAGGGCCGATATGCTTCCAGTTCTCTGAAATACATATAATGAAATTGTGTTATAATTACATTTACTCTATGTCTATTTAAATCAAATAAGGTAAGTGATCTTACATTTTCCTAATATCTGATACTCCTGCAATGACAAAATTCATATGACAAATGACCTGCAAACGATAAAATAAATAAATAAAAAGCAGAAAATTATAAGTAAAAACACTGAAGTTTGAAACTGTGATCGAGGAAATACCAGTGAGGAAGAGATGAGAAGCAGAGAATGGAAGCTGGAGAGCGAAATGGAGGGACAAAGCTCCATTGAAATCAGAGAAAATGAATCGATATGACAGTGGATTTCTTCATGACGCTGCTTATGTCAAGGAAGAAAGCTCCATGTGTAAAATTTAGTCGTCAGTTACGCGCGGGCAGTCTTAACTGTTTTTCTAATTACAAGAATCTTGTTGTAATTGAACTGGCTATGAGCTTTACTTTAACTCTAGTTGGCCCAATTTTTTTTTTAAATAATTTTTAAAGTGAGCAAGTTCAAAATAAAATATATGAAAAAAAAATTAATTAGTGGTGCAAATCTTGAAACATTAATACAAATAATGCTCAATAAAAAGAGAAAAAATCAACCAAATTAAAGAAATTGTTTTTTGAGTGGGGTCAACAGCCCCCACTCATTTGTATGTGGATTTGTCCATGTTTATTATCATCGTTTGATGCATATCGGATGAATGCACATTTATTTGTTTTATTAAATGTTTTTTTCATCGAATTTGTAGTTTGACAAAGTTAGTGTATGATAAATATATATGGATATTGTGGTATGTCTCTTCGATTAACATCTTTGTTAAAGAGTAAAGGAGATAAAAAAAAAAAAAATTAGACATGATAGATATACTATGGTATTTATACATTTATATAATAAAATTCATCCTATATAATATATATTTACTTTAATTATCATTAGTTGTGGTAGTGATTAAGTGGATGAACCAAAAAACAAAAAAACCAAAGAATAATAACCACATATATAATGAGTTATTTGCTTTCGATTAATCTAAAACTTTTTCATAAACATATTATGGACTAAAAAGATATACAAATAAAGTTATATTATTTCACCATTCTAAAATTTAGTTTTGTAACCGGATGACAAGACTTTAACCATCTAGATGGGTTACTAAAAAATTTTGTGTTCGAGTCCTACAAAATAGTAATCTACCACATTTATGACTTTATTTAATTTATTGGGTTTGTAAAGTGTTCAATAGACTCCCAATATTAGTTGAAGTGCATGCAAGTTGACTTGAATACCCTGGTTATTAAAAAAAAAAAATTAGTTTTAGAAAGTTATATATAATTTTAGAAATTTTATTTTAGAATATTATTATTATTATTATGTAAGCTTGCAGTAAGTAACAGTGTTCACCAAATTGTTAGGCTTATGATTGATAGATGTGGTTTGAGAATTCATGGGTGCGTTTGGTTCAATATTTCTACCCATATTTCTAATCCTATTCCCCAAATATTGTTTGGCACATTATTCTAGAAATATTACTATATTTTTTTAATCACTTTTAGACCCCTTAATTTATTAATTTCATTAAATACCCCAAAAAAATAAGTTTAAAAATTAACAAAAACTCCCCAATCAACCCATACTTGCCAACTTTCGGCAACCACTGTCGGTGGTAGCCGGAATCTGTACAACGGCCTACACCACAACAAGAACTGGTCGGTAGTTCACAAATCTGGCCTTTTCCGGCCATATCCACCACGGATCTAGCCGAAAAATGTCAGATCTGGCCGTCACTGACAGCCAAAGATGGACTTCTTCGACCTTTTCCGGCCATCGACGACCACATCTGACAGTAGATCTGGCCGAAAAAAGCTATAGCGACGCGTTACGACACAGATCTGACCGGTCTGTGTCGTAACGCAATTTTTCGACCAGATTCCAGTGGTGGTGGCTGGAATCTGGCACTATAGGTGATGGGGGTATTTTTGTTATTTTATAAAATTTTTATATATTGGTGTATTTAGTTAAATTAGCAAACTTAGGGGGTTTTTTAAAAAAAATTTAAATTTCATCTCATAATATTCTTCTATTCAACTATCCAATATTATTCTCAAAATCATATTCAAAATAATAAACCAAAACGCACCCATAAATTTTTAGTTGGGTAAGTTGTACTTGTTCGGCCCCATTCCTCGATGGAAAATCATCGTCTTTTTTATTTTGTCTACATGCTGAAATTGAGTGCCCAATGAAGCCACATAAATAACAGATTTGAGGGAGTTTCTCATTGCAACCTCAATAGGAAAGCCAAAACCTTCACGTTCTACTGTTAAAGATTCAGGGAGCATACTGGAGAGATCAATATCAAGTTGTCATGGCTTTTTGTCGTCTTTCCCTCCTTTGAGATATGATATGAAAACCAATGCTCTGATAGCAATTGTTTTGGTATCACAACCGCTAGAAAAGTCATGTGTGCTGAGTGCATAAAGAAAAATAAGAACAGAAAGAGTAGAGATGGAGAGAAAAAACTAAATACATTGCTCCTAATTGAATACAATGTTTAGAATATGAAAATAACCTTTGACTGGCTATAGCTTTATATAAGAGTTTACAAGTAAATCTGATGGTTCGGATATGTACATATTCATTAGGATGAATGGTTAGAATTAATTATACAAGCAATAGAATTCTAATCCTATTTTGATAACGTTATTGCGAAGGAACATTTGGAAGCTTCTTGAAAGCTTCTTTGACATATTCTTTGATGTTTTTGAGTGAAGTCTAAGTCAAATCTTTTGAATTGGATATTGAATCTCGTATGGACTTGGGTTTAGATTAGACATAACACTAGAATGGGCAAAATCAATGGCGGATCTGCATACATGAGAGGGGGCACATGCCCCTCCTAAATTTTGAAGATACATAAAGAAACCCTTTTAATTTCTTAGTTAATTACATTTTGTCCCCTTTAAAAGAAGTAATTCCTTTAATATTTTTCTTTATTTCATGTTTGAAAATATTATGTATCTTTCCTCTCAATTATTTATTTTTATATCATACACTAATTTATCTTTTATTTTATTAAACTATCATCATAATTCAAATAAAACCCATTAAAGAGCTTTAATGAACTTATCCATAACCATAATTTTTAGTTTTCACTTTCGCTTCTCTATAATTATTATCATTATATTTTTTTTACTTTACACTCGGAATTAATTACTGATATGTCAAAATTTATTAGAAAAAAAATATTCATATGTCTATTATGTACTAATTATGTTACATACAATGTCATTTCTATGTTGCCTCCTCTCACATAAATTTGTGGATCCTCTAATGGGCAAAATTAACTTTTATTTTTATTTATTATTATTACTATTGTTATTATAATTATATATTTTTTATTAGGCAATAATTACAAACAAAGTGGTAGGACTTTACTAAAAGAAGACTTTGAAGGTGTTGTGACAATTGACATAAATAATTCACAACATACATACTTATAAAGTCTAAGCAAACAGAAATAGTATCAACGCTGGCCAAACAATATTATTCAATATAAATATAAGTAAATCTCAAAAGTACTGAAACCAAAACCAAACGACACAGATACAGACCAATCCTCGTCGTTCGACTCCCCCAACTGTAACCCTCCAAACCCTAGTTTACCAACACAACTCTCCATTCTCTGCTCTCTCAACTCTCCTTACTCTCTCTCTCCTTTCCCACTTTCTTTGATCTGTCAATTTCACCCAATTTCCTCTCCCAAACCCTAGGCCCCGCTGTCCCAATCTTTCAATTTTTCGGATTTGGTCCCTCAATTCTTTTTTTCTTTCTGTTTTGGTTTCCACGGCGGAATTTTCGACCGCCGACGAGAGAGGAGTTTGAATTTTGCTGTTTTGACCTCGTGATCTGAAGAGGAATATTTGTTGTTTGTGTCAGGTTGGCGTTTTCTTTGACCTAATTCGTGAAAATTTGTTAATACGAGTTTGGAATTTAGAGTATGTGTAATTTTTTGCGGGAAAGTTTAGTTTTTAATGATGAGAATGAATGAGTGATTGGAGGTTAGTAAATCTGTGATTTTTTTGTGTGTTATTGATTTTGTTGTTGATATTTAGGGGAATGTGTTAAATGGTGTTAATTTGGGTAGGGTTACTGATTTCGAATTGATTTCGAGATTGGTTTATGCGTGAGAATGAGGTTTATTTTTGTTTCAGTAAATGGAAGTGATTAGACAGGTTAGTTGTGTGTGATTCTATGCTTCAAACTTCCACCCTTTATTCCGTAAGTGTGGCTGGTAGGTGTTGTAGAATTTGCAAATGGAGGGAATAATAATTGGTTGGAATGCAAGATGAAATGGGCGTGAGAATGGTTCGAGATGGTTAGCCCTGAGGGTTGGGTTGGGTGATCTTACTAGTTTCTTGACCACTAAGGTTTTAGGGTCATTTCTTTCACTTTCTAGACCTGGGTATTAAAAATCACATTTTTGTAGACCTGGTTGTTACAAATCACATTTTGTAGACTTGGGTATTAAAAATCACATTTTTGTAGACCTGGGTATTGAAAATCAGATTTTTGTAGACCTTGGTGTTGAAAATCACATTTTTGTAGACGTAGTCATTTTATGGTGCTGAGCGCTTTTTTGATCTTATATTTAAAATCATTTCTTGCACTGAGTATCTGTTGATTTTATTCCAAGCGACCCAGAGTTTTGTGCTAGTTGTCATGTTTGTATTTTCATGAATTTGTAGACTTGGTCCTTTCCATGGTACATTCGTGCTACTAATAAATGCATATGTATACCCTTCTTCTGGAATAGTAGTGAAATATGTAATTTTGTATCCCTGTCAAATAAACAGAAAAGTAGCAGATTTGATTGAAATGAAGCATCTTTGGTAGCAAAGTAGCGGTGCCACTGATGCGGATGTCTATTATTAGAGAATACCAAATATATGGCATGATAGTGTCTAATAGAACTTGAAGTGATTGGTGATTAGACGATTAGATGCACATACATAATTCTTGGATCAGATTTCTTATGTCGAATTATATTTGTTTTTGTTTTGTAGTTTGGCACCCTTTTTTCATAATATTTGTGTATGCTCAATATCTGCTATTACTTTGAGGCTCAGTTTATGGTTCAGATGATTGATATATTCTTAGTATTGATCAGCTATTTATTCATCTTTGATGGTATTAAGTCTGGGTCTATATGTTGCAGTTGATAATGATTGATGGTTTTGCAAAGCATTGAGCTATGGATCCTGAAAGCAAGAAATTTGGAATAGGTAATATATGTTTAGACATTGCGACCACATTGTCACCCTCTTTTCTCATAGCTAATTCTATTGTTATTTGTTATTCATGTGTGACCATTTTTGTGTGCAAACACACACGAGCATGAATTTTACATTCACGGATTTTAATGTTTAGCATTCTATTGATGGTGATAAACTTCCTTTTTGAATCTTGTAGGGGATAGGGAACTTACTGGTGCTGTTGATCTCATAAGTCACTTCAAGTTGCTGCCCCATCATGATTTTTTCTGCAAGCGATCACTTCCTTTATCAATTTCAGACACTCATTATCTTCACAACGTGGTTGGGGACACAGAAATCAGAAAAGGAGAAGGGATGCAACTGGATCAGCTTATTCAAAGTACATCATTTTCCAGAGATACTAATGCAAGGATACAGCCTTTTGACTTGGATGTCCTCAGAGAGGCCTTTCAATTGAGGGAAACTTCTCCTGTTGAGTTGCCTCCTGTAAGGATCCTAATTCTTGAATTTATACATTTGTGACTTTTCTTTTATATGTTTCTTCAGCTGGATGACATTCCTGGGTTGTCGATGTGTGGTGCTGGTTTCTGAGTTTCATGCTCCGAAGTTGTTTGCTATTCTCTTAGATGTTTATCTTATTGTATGCCATTTATTTTCTCTTCAGGCAGAGAAGGGGACTCCCACGATTGCCGGGAAATTGAAAAGTGAGTCCAAAGACAAGGAGAGGAAGCATAAAAAGCACAAAGATAGAGATAAGGAGAAGGACAGAGAACATAAGAAGCGCAAGCACCGTCATAAAGATCGAAGTAAGGATAAAGACAAGGATAAGAAGAAGGACAGGGGTGGGCATCATGATTCTGGTGCTGACCCATCAAAGAAACACCATGAGAAGGTTGGAAAATTGGAATTCTCTTGGATTCAGATCTTATCAATTAGCTCTTTTTTTTTTTTTTTTTTTTTTTATATTTTTTTTTTTTATTCCAGAAAAAAAAAAACGACAAAAATGAAAAATTTTGAAGTCCTCAATAGATTAAGAGAAAAAATAATGAAAAAGGTTGAGGCATTCAATTAGCATTGCTATGATACCCTCTTTACTAAGGATACAGATAGTCAATGAGTCAACTCTTTTGCAAAAATGACATTGTCATTTTATTTGAATGATGTATTCTTCTGTGGTCAATTAAAGGAACTAATTTTTCTGATGGCAAGGCATAAATTGGTGTTATGATCTTGGATGAATTAAGAATAACCCTTTGCAGTAGTACTTTTTATCAATTTCTTGCTTTGTTTTTTGAGAGGTAACTAAACTTTTTGAAACTCCCATTATAAATCTTTCTACTTAATATAATTTCAGAAAAGGAAGCATGATGGAGATGAAGATCTTAATGACGTTCAAAGGCAAAAAAAAAGTAAGGTAATGCATGCTGGTCAATCTCAACTTCTTAGTGCTTATATTCTGGATGCGCCACCAGCTCCCTGATTCTTGTATGACTTCCTTGATCATATATGCTGTCAGTTATTATAGTCAAGCTCTCTGCTTAATTTTTATTTTCTTGCAGCATAAGAACTCAAAGATTGATGAAATGGGTGCAATAAAGGTAGCAGGCTGAAGAAGTGGCATACAATAGTTCATTTATTGTCTCAGATGGTTGTTGTTGAGAGTTTGGAGGGGTTTTCCACTTGGATGATGTCAAATAGCTTGAGGTAACATTGGTATCTTGTTAATATTTGTAATTTATCCTGCTTTATATGTGTCCCATCTCATTCTTTTCTTCCCTTTTGATATATGAATGACCTTACACAAGAAACAATAGAATATGTGTCCATCAACAGTTGAATTCTATTCTTCAGTTACCTTGTGGATAACAGATGGTGTATGCCTCATCTGTGTCGCTAAAAGTGTCTGAAATTTAAACCAAATCATTTGACTGAAGCTTTGCATCTGCAAACCCATTTAAATTGCATTTCCCACCTCTGAAAGTTTCTTCTTCGTTAAGCCATTGGCACAGCTCTGCTAACAACTAAAAGTAATAATCAGTACTTGTAGGTTCTATAGAAGCAAAGTATATTTTGGCTATCTTTTTCTTGTAAACTACATTTTCATCCTTCTTTAAGACGCTACCAATAAGGTCTTGGTTAAAAACTTGTGAAAACTACATGTATGATTGACATATTGTATCTTCTTAATTACATCTATGATTAACATTTTGTTTCTCCTTAACTACGAGTATGATGTTATTACTTGCTGTTCCTAAGTTTCAGACGATCTTACATGATATTTATTTTGGTGCAGATTAGAACTGACTAAAGAATGTTAAGAAGGTGAATTCACCAGTGAAGTGTGTGGATGCAAGGTAAAAAAGTGACTGAATATGAACTTTTTGTATCATAACAGTGGTCTAATATAATTTTTGGTAACCTGGAAAACTTTATCCCTTTTTTTTTTCTCAGTTTTTATGGCGCATTGGATATCTCAGCCTGTACACATTATTGTAACCTTTTTCTTCATCCTTTTTAGAAGTCCAAAGTTAAGTTTTATGATCAGTTAAAATTGGGGTTTTGCCACTATGAAATGTAGGAAGATTGGAACAAGAAAGGAAATGTGAATATCGATTCCTNAAAAAATAATGAAAAAGGTTGAGGCATTCAATTAGCATTGCTATGATACCCTCTTTACTAAGGATACAGATAGTCAATGAGTCAACTCTTTTGCAAAAATGACATTGTCATTTTTTATTTGAATGATGTATCCTTCTGTGGTCAATTAAAGGAACTAATTTTTCTGATGGCAAGGCATAAATTGGTGTTATGATCTTGGATGAATTAAGAATTACCCTTTGCAGTAGTACTTTTTATCAATTTCCTGCTTTGTTTTTTGAGAGGTAACTAAACTTTATGAAACTCCCATTATAAATCTTTCTACTTAATATAATTTCAGAAAAGGAAGCATGATGGAGATGAAGATCTTAATGACGTTCAAAGGCAAAAAAAAAGTAAGGTAATGCATGCTGGTCAATCTCAACTTCTTAGTGCTTATATTCTGGATGCGCCACCAGCTCCCTGATTCTTGTATGACTTCCTTGATCATATATGCTGTCAGTTATTATAGTCAAGCTTTCTGCTTAATTTTTATTTTCTTGCAGCATAAGAACTCAAAGATTGATGAAATGGGTGCAATAAAGGTAGCAGGCTGAAGAAATGGCATACTATAGTTCATTTATTGTCTCAGATGGTTGTTGTTGAGAGTTTGGAGGGGTTTTCCACTTGGATGATGTCAAATAGCTTGAGGTAACATTGATATCTTGTTAGTATTTTTAATTTATCCTGCTTTATATGTGTCCCATCTCATTCTTTTCTTCCCTTTTGATATATGAATGACCTTACACAAGAAACAATAGAATATGTGTCCATCAACAGTTGAATTCTATTCTTCAGTTACCTTGTGGATAACAGATGGTGTATGCCTCATCTGTGTCGCTAAAAGTGTCTGAAATTTAAACCAAATCATTTGACTGAAGCTTTGCATCTGCAAACCCATTTAAATTGCATTTCCCACCTCTGAAAGTTTCTTCTTCGTTAAGCCATTGGCACAGCTCTGCTAACAACTAAAAGTAATAATCAGTACTTGTAGGTTCTATAGAAGCAAAGTATATTTTGGCTATCTTTTTCTTGTAAACTACATTTTCATCCTTCTTTAAGACGCTACCAATAAGGTCTTGGTTAAAAACTTGTGAAAACTACATGTATGATTGACATATTGTATCTTCTTAATTACATCTATGATTAACATTTTGTTTCTCCTTAACTACGAGTATGATGTTATTACTTGCTGTTCCTAAGTTTCAGACGATCTTACATGATATTTATTTTGGTGCAGATTAGAACTGACTAAAGAATGTTAAGAAGGTGAATTCACCAGTGAAGTGTGTGGATGCAAGGTAAAAAAGTGACTGAATATGAACTTTTTGTATCATAACAGTGGTCTAATATAATTTTTGGTAACCTGGAAAACTTTGTCCTTTTTTTTTTCTCAGTTTTTATGGCGCATTGGATATCTCAGCCTGTACACATTATTGTAACCTTTTTTTTCATCCTTTTTAGAAGTCCAAAGTTAAGTTTTATGATCAGTTAAAATTGGGGTTTTGCCACTATGAAATGTAGGAAGATTGGAACAAGAAAGGAAATGTGAATATCGATTCCTTTTTTCCCCATGAGAAATGACTAACATGTCCCAGTTATTCAAAATGGTTGTAAGGGCCTGGGTTATTTGTTTTCTAACATGACTGATGAATTCCCAAATTTATATGGCAAACATTCTTTGTATATAAGGAAGAAAGATTGGTTATGTCATTAAGGGAATCTTTTTCCTTTCTTTTTGTGAATTTCGTTTGGCAAGTCATGTCACCATTAGTTAAACTTAAACATTAACATTATACCATGAAGAATGATTGGTTTACTGAGCACTAGAGGAAACTTACATCAATTTGCCAAACATTCACATCCGTTTGATAATTTGGCAAATGAGGGCTTGTATTGTATCAATGGATGACGTGTGGTAAATCACTTAGGGCTTGTTCTCGGTCTTGGTTAACATAGTGGCTAAATTTGGCAGACTAATTTGGGATAGTTGTAATGCATTTCAAGTTTCTGGGTCACTGCACCTACCTGAAGTTCTATCACTTCAAACCTTTGATGTAGAAATCTGACCTTGTTTTCTGAGCTGTTGCAAGTCTTCCAAGTCATGTTTTTTTTTCCTCTCTTATGAGTGGCATTAACATTTATTACATTGTAGAAATTGTTATGGTTCCTGTAAGCTACTTGATATGAATTTCCATCACAGCTGGGGATGCCAACCCACCTCCATATCATACATTTTCACCGCACTAAACTACTATTTGTGAAATTCAATCTTGGGCTGAGTTTTTAATGCTGAGCCCGGGCCCTGGGCAAAGCCTGTTGTATTTACATGCTAAGCGAGTTAACAAGGATGTATCTGAGCTGTGGGTTTACACTTTCTTACTTATTATAATGTATTAACTCCAACTAAATCCCAATATTTATTTATTTCTGCATATAATTATATTATTTGATAGACTTACAAAAATAGAACAAGAATATTTATTTATCAAAAAAGTAAAAATTTAATTTACAATTTTATCGTATCTAAATTCGTAGTTAATGTAAAAACCATTTTAGATAAAATTGTCCTCTAAAGATAAGATATTGAAAAAAAAAAAAAAATACTAGTTGTAGTAGTGAGCTCTTAATCTTCCATGAATGTTTCTAGTTGTCTATAATTGGTTGGAAAAATTATGGATTTTAACTCTTGCTTTTATAATAGATTCTTTTGGGTATAATCACAATTAAAATTATAACTAATAATTAAAAGAAATTAAAAAATGCGATAGAATCATCATCTCCATTTGCAAATATACCCACTCCAAAACTTTTCGAAACATTTTATATAATAATTAAATTCTCCAAAAAGGGGGAGTTTGAAAGCTTTTGGTTTTAATTTGTGCTTTAAATTTTAATGTCAAAATTCGGTATTCTCGATGACTTCAACATACAGAGCCCAGCCTCCCTCTACTTGTCATTGTGGACTGCAAATCCATTATAATAACACAAATGAATGATAGATTTATTGACATGATATCCCACTAATGAACTAAAGAAATTTCACATTTAAATAATTCTTTTCATAATGAAAATTTTATACTTATATTAAATTATTAAAATTAAATTTATTTTCTATTCTTAACACATCTTTGTACTCTACTATTATAAACAAGATCTATAAGAAAATATATGTGCAAGGAGAATTATTTGATACACTTATCTCATTTGCAACTTATTAATCAAGAGATAATGTGTATATTACAAATGCATTATTCTCCTCTGAAGATTAGTTGAGATACACATAAATGAACCAACTCATCAAACTCACCCTTGGTCAGTTTTAAAATTAAACTATTAGTAACATTGTCTACTAACCTTGCAACGAGATTATCCAATGTAAAATTGCAATTATCATCAATATCAAATCAGGTCGGAGTATGTAAATGCATGATTTTGTCTTTTCTTTTCTTTCACAGAAACATTTAATTGATAAATGGCTGAATGGTTCTTGCAGTCAATATTTGATGGCCCACTCATTTGAATTTTGGAGAAGAGTAAAATCGGTGGAAATTCAAATTTGCATAGAGTGTTATTTTTTCAAAGAGTCATCTTGATTTTGAGCAGTATATTGACCGTAACCTCATAAGTACAACATTTTTCTTTGTCGTCACGAAATTATTTGATATGAAACGTACTCACGGTTATTAAAAAATATTATATAAACTAATATAATATATTATTTACAGATGAGACATCATTTGGGAATAATGTGCTTGATAATTTGAAGGTATACAATGGAGAGACATACCAAATGAACAGAACAGAAAGTTCTTTGGATCCTAAACAAAAACTATATATTATAAAAAAAAATTTGCTGATCTGTAGAAACAAACCCATCTGGTGTAGCCCGGATTGAATTATGTAAAGACAAGAATATTTGGAATAACATCGAAACCCATGTGAAGAAGACAGAAGGCTCCATCATGATTGGCTGTAGTGAGAAATTAACGGTCAAGAAACCATCATAAATATCGGGGCATAAATACATGATACATTTATTATATAGTTGCAATTAACCTTTAGTCTTATGCTGCTCATCAAACAATAAGTGGCTGCATCTTTCAACTTCAACCAACTCTCAATCATAACTATAATCAATATTAAAATTACTATTTTACCCCTTTTAGTCCTCCTTCCCCATTTATTTGGACCATTTTACCCCTATCTTTTTTTTTGTGAAATTTTGAAGAATTTTCAAGTTCGCTTTGATCTCATTGTTATCTTAATATTTGATATAATATTCACAAATTATAAAACGACTTATAATATTAATTTATAAGAAAGAACAAAATCCAATACCAAAACAGTTGAATATTCTTTAGTTTTATTATCTCTTGTATGTTGATAAAGATCATTCATGGACCTTTATTCCCCTTTTACAACAACATTGATAATTAAACTTGTAAATAAAATGTTAAAGTTTTTTTTTTTTTTATAAATGTAATTTAGATGATATTACTTTCTAATTTTATGCTTTTTCTTTATGAGGTTCATGATATTGATGTAAATGGTAAAAGGACTTGATTCATCTCCTTTTCTTTTCCTTTTTATTTGGTATCCTATAAAGTTTGTCCCAAATCTAAGATGCTATTTTCTCAAAGCTATTTTAGAGACTCATAAAAGCCAAAGCAAACCCAATAAGAGATTCCAAGTGGCCATCTCTTCCGATGTGGGATTTCATTTGTTTTTGTTTTCTTGTTTCCTAAAACATTTTTTTTGGTACACATTAAAGGGACCATATTAACAAAATCTCCTTTAGATTTTAAATATTAAAAAAAAAAAATTGTCTTTCATGACCGTTGATAAGAATTTGAACTAAAACACTTATCGAATTGCACTTTGTCATTTATATGACTTAACAATAGGACATTTATGTTATTTTATAAATTTTAACGATATTTTTGTTATTTAATAAGCCTTAGGGGTTATAATTGACTCTTATCAAAAGCAAAAGTAAAGAAGAAAATATGTTGGTAAAAGTATTTGGCCTTCCGCTCAGTTTTCAAACTTTGTAACCATCAATTTAAAGAGATTAATTATTTATAATAAAATTTTGACATTAATAGCATCCTCATCTTTATTTTGTAGCAAACCATTTAATATTAATAAATTAATTCATAATTCATAACCCTTTACAGATAAATTTAAGTTCTAATAATTTGAAAAAGAAGAAGAAAATTTATAGTGAAATTAAAACAAAAGTTTATTTTTAAATACAAGATTATTATTAGTTATATTAATCTTTTTGTTATTCCCTAATTCTGGTTTGGTAATCTAATTGAATCTAAGTATCTTGTTAAACTATATATAATATATATATTATATATTTTTTATAATATTTTGAAAGTAGCAAAGAAAAATTTGGTATGATGAAGCACTAAAGAAACACCCATGCTTTTTGACACATTTTGGTGTTTTGAAAAGTCCAAAAGAATGAGCAAGAAAGTCATAAAGATTTGACAAGCATGCATGAAAAGCTAAAGTGGGATGGATCCAAAGATTAATTTTTTATAAAATCAAATCCTAATATGAGGGTTAAACAAAAGCACTTCCAAGTGGAAAGACAAGATTTGGAGAAAGTTTAAAAGTGCTTTTTGATATACCTTTTTTTTTTTTTTTTTTTTTATAATAATTGAAATACTATTGTTAATTTCATTGTTGGCCTCTACTTTTACATAGATTGGGTGAATCTATAACACTTGTGCTCTCTTTTTGTTTTAATCTAAGTAGGTAGTGGACTTATTTTTATCAAATCCATCTGTGTTAATGTTATAATAATGTGAGAAGCTTTGATACTAGGCTCTCTTTTTACGGTTTCAACTCTATCTCAATCTTTTTTTTTCTTTTTTTTTTTTTGGTTGGGAAGTATGGAAAACTTGGTTCAAAATCTAAAATCTCTACAAATTGGGTCTGATCGAATCAAGTAGATATTGTATTTGTGCATTGGGGTTTATACCACGAAAGTTTGCTTTTGAGCTTCATACAAGTATCCTTTACCCAAAAAAGCAAACTAGGGTATGCAAAAACTTTCTACCTTATGGTGGTCACTCGGCCCTTATAAATCGATCGTCTCGTTATAGGGGTGGATAAATAATCCAAAAACGAATCGAACCGAAAATTAGGTTTTTTTACAAACCGGTTCGTTTGTGAAATTCAAAAAACCGGAAAAACCGGTTCGGTTTTCGGTTGAAAAAATTTTAAACCGGTTTTACCCTAAATATAAAAGCAAAAAAATTATTATATAAAATAATAATATTTGAATTTAGGGACTTAAATGAAACATTAGGATTTTAAGGATTAAATGATAATTTGAAAACCGGTTAACCAGTAACCAAACCGAAAATTT